ACCCTGAAGAGAGTGAGCGCGCGTTTGCTATCCGCTTTACACCGCATATTCCTTTTATTGTTCGAGACGTGGGAGAGACGCGAAAAGTCCAAAAGGGAGACAAAGAGAGACGGATAGAGAGAAAAAGAGAGAGAGAGAGAGACAGGAGGGCACGAGTAAGCACGTGCATGCCTGCTGAGTAGTTGAGTACCTGCCGCTGGCCACATTCGCGGAATTAGACGCGCGAATGTGCACGGCTTAACTGCTGGGAGAGCGTGTTTTTGAGTCGGCGCTGATGCGCCACGAAGAGCGATAACAATGGGGGGATACGATGGGGTGGGCAGGTCGGCTGGCTCGTTACCGTGGCTGCTGATGGCCCCTTTGTATCCATTTCTATGATACTCAGCTCGGCGCTCGCTCGTGCTAGGATCACGTCCTAACTGATTATGCGGCTTGTATGCGTCGCGTCGTTAGCTTTTTATCCGATTACGAATGCGATATACAAGCATCCATGCATCTGCATATGTCCGTTATTACGACAGAATACTTGGCCACTCTGGATTATCATCCGAACGTATGGCCCTCGGATACAGATTTGTTAATAATTTGTAACGAACGAATTAAACGAAACGGGTTTTTACCTTTTTCCCGCTGCGTCAGAAATCAATTTACTCGCTCATTATTTGTCTCTTTTTTCACGAATCTCTTATCAGGCTCACGTCCCGCGCGCCTGATAGAGATATTACGAATAAAGAAAATGGATTGAATCCTGATCCTGACAAGTGCGTCAGGATCGCGATTGATCGGTTCAGGCGAACGACTTTAACAGGACTGTTGCGTTAATTAATTCCCGCTGATCTCAATTAAAATATTAATTAGGATGGAACAATGACTCGCTGATGGGGAATGGAGGCTCGGCGACTCGCTTCTCTTCTCATCTTCGCTCGTCGTTTACCCGCCGCTTCCCCGCCTCCATTTATCGTCCGCGATGGAGCCGGAGAAACCGCCATTGCGATGCTATTACGATTACTCCGGTCTTATAAGCTTATCTGATAACCACGCCGTTATGGCTACATGGCACACTGTGACTGCGCTGTCGCTGACTGGTCCGTTTGTCTGATCGTTCTCGTGGAGACC